CCTCCGGCCTGCCAGCCGCGGAGGCGCAGCCACGGCCTCCTGCCGGCACTCTCATTGCCCTCTCTTGTCACCGTACAGGATTGACATTCGGAGACCGCCGCGCCCTCAGTCTGTTTGGTAGACTCTTCGCCGCACGTGGAGTTAGAGCTGCCAGGTGGTCGCCACCATGTCCATGAGCCTCCTGGAAGACTGGTGCCGGGGCATGGAGGTGGACATCCACAGGTGCCTCTTGATCGTCGGCATCCCGGAGGACTGCGGCCAAGCGGAAATCGAGGAGACCTTGAATGGGGTCCTCTCCCCGCTGGGCCCGTACCTCGTGCTCAACAAGATATTTTTGAGGGAAGAGAATGCCAAAGCCGCCCTCGTTGAGGTCAGCGAGGGTGTGAATGTGAGGGCCATCCCCCGGGAATTTCCGGGAAGGGGCGGTGTCTGGAGAGTGGTCTGCAGAGACCCCACCCAGGATGCAGAGTTTTTAAAAAACCTGAATGAGTTCCTGGACGTCGAGGGGCGCACCTGGGAGGATGTGGTCCGCCTGCTCCAGCTCAACCACCCCACATCTTCCCGGAACCGGAATCTGCCCCCACAGAACTGGGCAGAGACCTTGGGGGTGCTCCTTGGGACCGTGGTGCAAATCGTCTTTTACATGGATGCCGAGATCCGCAAGCGGGAGGAGGCCGGGGCCCTGGAGGCCTACGAAGCCCAGTTGGTGGCAGCCTCAGCTGCAGCCACAGGACGGAGAGTGAAGAAGGAACCCGGGCGGGCTTTCGAGGTCGGCTCTGCCTTGAAGATAGAGAACCCGGACAGCTGGAATGACGCGGAAGATGAACGTGACCCCCCCAAACCGCTGGTTCGTAGGGCTGGAGCTAAGACTCGCTCCAGGAGAAAGAAGCAGAAAAAAAACTCCAAGCAGGAACCAGCATCCTGGAAGAAACCCAGAGGCCATTGCTCAGCCTCCTCGGAGGATCCCGAGGCTGCCGATGGGGAAAGTATGGAGACCTCAGAATGTATCAGGAGCAGCAGGAAGCCCTGCGTGAAGCAGGAAGAATTGGCTTTCAAGAAGCCCGTGGAGAGGCGCGCCTGGAAGTTTCCTAGAAATGCAGCTCAGGATGCCGAGCCAGAAGCTGGGGGCCCTGCAGCTGCCTCTGAGTCAGACCAAGATGGTGGCCGGGACGGCCCCCCGAAGAAGAAGGCCATGGGCTGGGCCTCGGCGAAGAGCCCGGCCTCTGGGAGGAAGAAGAAGAAGGTGAGCTTGGGCCCCGTCTCTTACGTCCTCGTCGACGTGGAAGACGCCAAGAAGAAGCCTCCGATTCCAAAGAAGGGGCCAGGCTCGAGAAGGGGCGCGGCAGCTCAGAAGGCCCCGCGAGGCCCGCAGCCCACCGAGGCGCCAGCTTCAACGTCGCAGGGGGCAAAGGCCAAGCCCGAAGGCTCTCCTCATGGTGAGCGTGACGACAGGAGGAAGGGGGAGGAGCGGGAGCGGCAGGTGGCGGCTGATGAGTCCCAGGGGCCCGCGCACCACGTGGTCAGTGACGAGGCCCCCAGTGCAGTGGAGGAGGTGGGTGACACAGCAGTGGAGGTTGCAGAGGGCCAGAGTCCCGACCTTGCTCCTAGGAGCCCTTGAAGGCCAACATCGGGACCACCTGCGGGGACAGGAGGTGACAGAGCAAACCCACCGACCTGTGTGGCCGGTGAGAATTGCTGTGCTGTTCTCAGGTCATCCTGCCATTCCACCTGCCCGTCTCCCTCGATAAGAGGGAGGTGGCTTTGCGGGTGGAATGTTCTGGAGGCCTGGTTGGGGGATGGAAATGTTTGAGGGCTTAGAAAGTCCCAGGAGGTAAAACAGTTCTGAATGACAACCCTCCCTGCTTCTCTTGAGCTGTTCTGATTTATCCACAGAACACAGAAAGCTTTGAGTTGAGGGGACCACCCACACCCGAGGCGCTGGAAGAAGACCAAGAAAGAAGTTCCAAGTTGGGCACAAAGTGTTCTCTTGTCACTGAGTGAACCAAGGCTTTCGGCTCTTTTAGCGATGTGGCTCTCAGAGGTCAATGCCACGTGAGATCCTATGTGGGAGGGAGGCGTCTGTACCCCTGTGATTTTTCTCTGCCAGGCCAGCTTTCCCACCTCCTCCTCGACTCACCTTCTATAAGCAGATTGGGAAAATTCTAGAACATCGATCTTGACACATGGGCACAGTCACAGTCACACTCATCCACGTTTGGCCTTTTTCCCCCATTTCCTGCCACCTCTTCTAATGGTCTGCGGACCCCTGCGGGCCTGGCGTTTTAAAGAGCGGAGCGGCTCTTTCTCCCTGCCACCTGCTCTGTCCCTTGACTGTGGGTGAGTTAAGCCGAGGTCTTCAGTGCGGACCCGGCTTCCTTGCTCCTCCCAGTCCTGAATTAACAGCCTCCAGTTACTGAGCAGAGGGTGGTAAGGTCCCAAGAGCTAGTTTTGGGGAAAAACAATGTCCATTTAGGCCTTGAGGTATTCAAATTTTAGGTTCTGTTAATAAAAATGGTCCTCGGATTCCCATTTGGGGTAAAACCCTCTCAGGAGCCTGCAGGGAGGAGGGGCGATTGGTCAGGAAGAACTTGGCCTTCCTTGCTGTGATTCCATCCACTGCCACCAAACTCTCAAAGTCTTTGAGGCGGCAGACACTTCTCACATTATAGTAAGAGGGAAAAAGTTCTTTCAAAAATGGCTGTTGGTTTCCATCCTCTGACTAGACCAGAGTACCGTGTCTCCTGCGTGTGCGTGTGTAGGGGGAGGGACAGGATATCTGAGATCATTGCTTTCTAAACTCTCCTGGGGCGGCCCAAGACGTGCTCAAAGATGTGATCCAAATCTCGTTTTCGATGTATTTAAAAATTTAAAAAAACACTGAAAAATGGTAAGTTGAATATATCAGAAGCCAAAGCCCATCCTATCAGAGACTATCAAAATATTACGTTGTGTTCACTTGTTAACTTGTTTTTGTACAGGTCTCGAATGAAGTGTTTCTGCCATTTATTTGCATAGAAATGAATTTCGTGTAAATGTGACCAATGAGAAAGAGTAGGATCGGGGGTTCGGTCCTGTGCATGCCCCGTAATGTACACTTTGTAATGCACATGCTCATGCCCTCATCCTGCCGTGATTTTCAGTTGAGTGATAGCAAGTAGCTGTATTAACCCGGCACACAGTGGTAGTATTCTATCAGAGTTTAGCCCTTTATGTTTTTAGAGTCTCTCTTCGGACTTCAGTTTTTGTGATAAAGAATTTGAACAGTCAGTAGATGTCGTTAGTGATTCAACTTTAAAAACAAAGTTCTCGCGATGATTCTTTTCAAAGCCCTGGACGAACCTTAACCGACCGTGCAGAACGGAAGAAAAAGGTTCTCTCTGCATCTGCTCGTCTGTGCGTATCTCGGCTTTCCTTGGTGTGAGCCAACCAGAGCACAGGCGTGACTTGGACTCTCAAAGTGACGACAGCTTCTGACTCTCCAGCACCCAATTTCAAAATCAGATCCACCGGGGCTTCGTTGTGTTAATGAACTGACACCGTGATTAATCACTGTACATGCTATGAAATAAAGTTTAGCAAATTTAAATGTCCTCTGAGTGTCTTTCATAGGTGGAGGTGGCATGGAGTATTTTATTTAATTTGAGAAAAGAGTTCCTTCTGCTGAACAGTACACGCTGTCCCACACTCCCAGCCCGGTGTGAGCTGGCGTCAGTCTTGGGTTCAACCTTCAAGGATTGTCAGCTTTCCATGAGAGAAAAAGCCATTGCGATATCTGTCCTATTTGCTATATGGCCTTCCACCAGTGCAAAAGGATCTCCCACAGATCTCGGGATTTCTAGAAGTTTCTAATCCAGGTAACTGGCGATGCGAATTATCTGAAAATGTGAGTTTATTTTAAAAGTAGTTGGATGATGAAAACGCTTACCTCAGACAGAAGCTGAGGTCTTTCAGCTAAAAACTCCCTTTTCTCCTGCCCGACCTCCATCCCTGCCAGGGACTTGCAAACCAAGGTGGCCATTTCCTCAGAGTCACCTGGGGCCTTTGTTAAAAATGCCTTTCTTGGCCCCAGCCACCGAGTCGGTATCCCTGAGTGCTCATATCTGTATCAGAAACCTGCATCTTAAAACAGTTTCTCCTGAGAATTCTAATGCATGTGTCTGTCGGAGAACTCCAGAGGACATTTGAGGGAGACACCCTTAGGGGTCAAGGTTGGGGTTTTGTGAAAGGTGTATGGGGGTTGTCGGGGGCAGAAGGATGCACAAGGGACCGAAAAGGAAGCAAGGCAGCGGGCCTTTGAGGCTGGGGAGCTGACGGGGCGCTGGAGTGCAGGCACATGAAGCCCAGCGGCAGGCTGGTTGATGGGGCCTTTCCCCCTCCCCCATGACGGGAAATGCTGCATTTGGCCGCGATACTGTCACTCACTCTGGTTACGCCCGGGCCATCAGTAAAGTCAGAAAGGCTCTGTGGCCCCGAGTTGGGGAAATCCGGGGCTGGGACCAGGTTGAGTACAGTGCTGACCAAGACACATTTTTTAGTGAACAAACCGTACTGTGAAAAAGATACATGGCGATCCCATTAGTTGACTTTTTTAGAGGAATAATACATCGATATCTGTTAATAAATGCATGCAGATACAGTTGTTTGAGGAAGGTACAGGTGTTTTTGTTTTTACAGTGATTGCCCTTGAAGTGAGGAATGGGGTAGAGGGCAGGTGGAGGGGGTGCAAAGGGGACCTTTCAGGACTTTTGATTTCCTGTACAGGGGTCCCCAACCCCCAGGCTGTGGACCGGCACCGGCCTGTTAGGAACCGGGCCGCACAGTAAAAGGTGAGCAGCAGCCAGTGAAGCTTCATCTGTGTTCGCAGCCGCTCCCGAGCGCTAGCATCACCGCCTCAGCTCTGCCTCAGATCATCAGGCATTAGATTCTCATAGGAGCACTGGTCTCTGGTGCCACAAAGGTTGGGGACCACTGGTGTACTATGTTGATTTCTAACTATACTCATTTTTTTTTTAAGTAATAAATATCCAGCCTCCCAAAAAGCAATGAAATACTGATACCTGCTACAATGTGGCTGACCCTTCAAAAACAGTAAGCTAAGTGAAAGAAATCAGGCGCAAAATGCCACGTAGTGTGTGGTTCTCCTATAGGAAATTTCCAGAATCAGGAAATCCGCAGAAACAGAAAGTAGGCGAGTGGTTGCCAGGGGCTGGAGGGCTGAGTGGGGAGTGACTGCTAATAGGCATGCGGTTTTCTTCTGGGGCGATGAATGTTCTGGAACTAGGTAGAAGTGAGGGTTGCACAGACCTTGTGAATGTACTAAATGCCACTGAATTGCACACTTTAAAATAGTTTTTTTTAAAGGTAAAAAATCTGGCAGCTGGATCATGGACATTTTTTGAGAGAAGTAAGGTGGGGGTTCTTTACACATCCCCTGCATTAAAAAAGTCGTCATGCCAAGCACACGAGTTAGGGGTGCAAATCACATTAGCTCTCTGTGGCTGGTGAATTAGCTTTGCTGAGGATCTTTGAAGAAAGCTCTCCTGCCATGCTGAGATATGTGAATTTTTATTTTTTTAATTTTAATTTAATTTTAAACGCCTACAGCACCTAGTCTCCCATCCAAGTACTAACCAGTCCCCGCCCTGCTTAGCTTCCGAGATCAGACAAGATAGGGCACATTCAAGGTGGCATGGCCGTAGATGAGATATGTGAATTTTTAATCAACCTGTTTTGCATCAAAAGACTTTTTAGCTTCCTGAGGGTCAATTTTTAAAATTCGAGCCTGGGCTCGTCCATTCTTGCAAAACAGGGAAAGCAAGAGAACTCACAGAGTGTACAAGTCCGGTCACGCTCGAGCAAAGCACAGCCCTGGGGCTCGGTCTCCGCCAGAATGTTCTGGAACAACAGTGAATGTGTCGCTGATGTCAACAGCTGTAGCCCACTTTCATGCTCGAGGCACGTACTGAGTGTTTCTCCTGTGACCTTCACATTTAGGTAAAGAACATGAGCACTGACAGAATGTTCAAGATCAAAACTCTTGAGCAAGAATTTTCTACCACTGCTTTGTCGAGATTCTGTCTGTGCTTAACTGAAGCATTTTTGAGTGCAAGGTGAGCTGTTTTAAAAACTGTCAACATGTGAGAATAGGGAGGAAAATATCTGAAATAACCAGAAAACGGAGAGAAGTCAATAATGAAAGGGGATTGGTGTTGGTAAGTACTAAAATGAAGCTACAGTAATTAAAACAGTTCTCTACAAACTGAAGAATATCGAGTCTGGAAACAGAGCTACATAGATATACAATTACAGTTTACGATATAGGTGGAGTTTCACATTGACATGGGAAAGATGAATTATTCAGAAAATGGTGTTGAGACAACAAGCTAGCTATTTGGGGGGAAATAAGCCACTCCTTACGTCAAAATTCCAGGAAAAAAAAATTAATAAAATAAAATCGTAAGATTTGTAGAGGATAAAATGGGGGGATAATTGGTCATCTCAGAGGGGAGGGAACTTTTTAAAGCCGAGTGACTTTAGGAGTGCAAAGGTCTGGTGACCCTCACATAAATGTAGGCCAAGCTGGGACCCAGGGCAGGGTTCCAGTCCCACGTGATCTGCAACCATCAAAGAAAACCGGCCACTTAGCCACTGTGACCACAGAAAAGTTAATTTTTTACATGAGAAAAAATAACAAAGGCAAAAGATAGTGACAAACTGGGGAAAAACAGACAACGAAAGTTTCATACCTTCCTTTACAAAATGATCAAGAAAAAGAGGAACAACCCCTGAGAAAAATGGTTAAGGGACATTAAAAAAAAAAAAAAAGCAAGTATCAACGGCTAGTAAACACACCAAAAGAAGCTCAATCTCACACTTAGAGAAATGCACAGCCAAAACAGTCAAGCGATAAGGATAGACATGTAGATCAATAGAATAGAATCCAATAGAATAGAATAGAACCACGAGATCCCATTTTCCATGTAACTGATTGGCAAAAGTTCTACAAATTGAGTAATACCCAGTGCTGGTGAGGCTGTCATAAAACGCTATTGTTGGGAGTGTGAACTGGTCCGGGGGCCATTTGGCAGTAGCTGCCACATTTTCAAAATGACTTTTGTTTTGGGTCCCGGGGAACATGCTACTCACAGTTTTCGCCAACAACATACTCTTAAACATATGCCATGCCTCACGGTGAAACGCTATTACAGGTGCGTGAAATAATCTGAGATCCATCAGTACAGAACTGGTTGCATAACCGTGGTACAACCATAGGACAATGGGACACTCTGTGCACATTAAAAAGAAAGGTTCGGATGTCAATTGCCGATTGGAAAATGTTTTCAGTGAAAAATGCCATAGGGCACATGGGATCAGCTTTACAGAAATGAAAAGCACATGTGGATACAAAAGGTCGTATATATGTCAAGCCTTTGTTTCCCTGGAAGGAACAATAGAACAAACTGTGATAATCGCTTGCTCCCAAGGTGGGAAACTGAGTCAAAGTGGAGGTGGGGAGACTTTGTTGCTCTCTCTTTCTATAACTCTCACATTCGATCACACATTATTTTTTAGAATGCCGATGTGGTTAAGAGAGTAGGACATTTTTCATTTTCTCTATATTTCTTTGCATTAAAAAAACAACACTATACTTAAAAAAGAAAGTCAAATGACCTCCAACCACGTTCACGGGGATTGCTAAGTTAGCCAGACTTTTCTGCAATTCTTAGAAGTGTTTCCTGCCATTTCTGAACAAATATTTGCACTTCTTATAAAGCGTCTTTGTTTTGGAAGGTGTATCCCCGTGGATGCTGGTTAGTTTTTAAAAATTTTTGGTACGGCATGTCCGTGCCTGGAAAACTCTGTCAACTATTTCTGCAAAGCACATGCCTTGTCACACTCAACTCGATGACAAGTAATGCTCAGGCATGGCTGCCACGGAAAAGTTTCAATCCTGCATTAACAGTTCTAGAAAAGCAAGTGAATGTGTAACAAGAGGGCATGGTCATGCGCTGGGGGGGACGTGGGCTGGGGCCTCTTCGTGACTTTGACATTCGGGATAAGCAGTGTGAACAGCTGGCAACCCTCTTTAGTAACTTAACTAAAAAATGAAAACTCACAACTCTTTGTCAAGCTCTTAGTGGTTAACCTATGAGGAGAAGCTGTTGAAAATTGCTACCATATGAGAGTAACCAAGAAACTTTGAAAAAGAAGTGTAGTGTGTGAAAGGGGCGGGAGCTAAAATGCATTAGATCATAAAATACGTTATCAATATTTAATATTCCTGACAGTTTGGTTCCCCCAACTGCCCCGAGATTTTTGGTTTTGATGGAGGCAGTGTTTGGGAGTCAGCAGGCAAGATAAGGCAAGATAAGGTCAAACCTTTCTTTGGGGAGGGAGAGGATAAAAAATGGCCAGATTCCTATGTTCTTTTCACTGAAATGAATTCCAGATGGATCGAAAATTTAAATGCAAACCATACAGTTGTCAAGCGCTAAAAAATATTGAGGAATTAATATATGCTCTTAGAAGTGGAGGGAATATTTTTCTAAGTAGAAAAGCAAACTTGAATCATTTGAATTTTTTTTT